TTTGCTTTGGTCAATTTATGGCCCTGTGGGTACTAAATCCCTGGGATATATATCTGATTTTTTTTATTTTTTAAAGTTTGTCCCTGGTTACTTTGTGTTGTTTATTGATATAAATTGCATAATTGAATTTGTATGGGAAAAGTGAGCACTGATGTTAGTCTAAAGATGATTAGTGTGCTGGAATAGTTGATCAATATCTTTCTAATCTTGTTTTAATCAGTAGGTAAGGTCAGCTTTATTTACACTGATAGCCTTACTGTTTAGATTTAATATCAAGTTAATAAGGTTATGTGATCACACTCTAATTGTACTTGTTTAATTGACACAGTGCTACAATGGGATTTATTAGATACCATACTGAGAGGAAGGTGTTCCAAATGTCATGGGAAACTATGCCTTGGATAACTTACCTAAGATAAAAACCAAATTAGCCAGAATATGCCATTACTGTTGCCATATGCACTGATGTTACTTTGTAAAAAAATGTAGAATGTATCATGCATTTTTTTTTATTATCTTTCTTTCTTTCTAACTTTGTTTTGATTGAATTTAGAATATTAAGAGAGGAATCCACCGCATCTGGCACCTTCATTGTTATATAGTAATTTTCTTTCATCTGTGTTAAATTTTACTAGTGGTAATGGCAAACTTTAGGACAGTTGTGGACAAGGTAAGTTTGCTTTAGAACTGTGAAGATACACATTGATATTATTAAATAAAATTGGCTATAGACAAAAGGGAGTTTGTTTTCAAATGTAAGAGTACTTTTTGTGTGTTCTAAATGTGGACTTGGTTCTGCTTTAAACTCTACTTCATTTGCTACTGCACACAGCAACCTATATCCATCCATCCAACCTATATTCATCCAACCTATATTCATCCATCCAACCTTATATTTCCATCCAACCAACCAACCTATATCCATCATCCAACCTATATCTATACAACCAACCTATATCCATCATCCATCCTATATTCATCCATCCAACCTATATTCATCCATCCCACCTATATTCATCCATCCAACCTATATATATCCATCCAACCAACCTATATCCATCATCCAACCTATATTCATCCAACCTATATTCATCCAACCTATATCCATCATCCAACCTATATTCATCCAACCTATATCTATCCATCCCACCTATATTCATCCAACCTATATCTATCCATCCCACTTATTTACATCAATCCAAACTATATCCATCCATCCAACTTATATCTATCCAATCAACCTATATCCATCCATCCTATATCTATCCATCCATCCAACCTATATACATCCATCCTATATCTATCCATCCAACCTATATCCATCCATTCAATGTATATCCATCCATCTAACCTAGATATATCCATCCATCCTATATCTATCCATCCATCCATCCAACCTATATACATCCAACCTATATCTATCCATCCCACCTATATCCATCCATCCAACCAACCTATATCCATCATCCCACCTATATTCATCCATCAAACCTATATCCATCCAACCTATATCTATCCATCCAACCTATATCTATCCATCCAACTTATTTACATCAATCCAAACTATATACATACACCCAACTTATATCTATCCAATCAACCTATATCTAACCATCCAACCTATAGCCATCCATCCAACCTATATCTAACCATCCAACCTATATCTAACCATCCAACCTATATCTAACCATCCAACCTATAGCCATCCATCCAACCTATAGCCATCCATCCAACCTATAGCCATCCATCCAACCTATAGCCATCCGTCCAACCTATATCTAACCATCCAACCTATAGCCATCCATCCAATATACATACATCCAACCAACCTATATGCATCCATCCAACCTATATCCATCAATCCAACATATATCAAATAAGCCAACTATCCATCCTTCTTTCGGTCCAACTATCTATCTATCTATCTTTCCTTCCTTCCATCCATCCATCAAACTATACATGCTTCCATGTTTGTCTGTCTATAAAAAGCCTTACATTCTCTGTTATATAGAGCACAATGCATATCAAAGGGTCACTACTTTTTCCTATTATCATGGCAGTTATAAAATATGTACTTATACTATGACAAGTAGATTATATAATAAAATATTACAGTACAGAGATGGTGTTAGTATGAGCCTAATGTTTTTTATATTGTTTATTTATAAGCTTTAATATTTCCAGTAATCCCCAGTATTAATAATAAAGAACAGACTTTGAAGTTAAAGGTGTCAGAGATGAGATTTATTTAAATAAAATCACAAAATACTATAATACACAAATTAACCCAATGATTAAAGCACAATAATAAATGTGTTTTGTTGAGTGGTCTGCTAGTATAGGTCTTGCCTTACCTCACATGGGTTTTGTTCATTGTATTGTATTGTATTTGACCTTGTTATGTTTTTCATATATATGTTTATCGTATGAATTGCTAGTATTGTGGCTTTTCTTTTCTTTTTTCTTTCTATTTTAATTAAGCATTATACAGAACTTGCT